ATGTATGCAGACACACATTCAACTGCGAACACAGCACTGAGGCACAGACAGACACACAGACGCACACAGACACAGACACAGACACAGACACAGACACAGACACAGACACAGACACAGACACAGACGCAGACGCAGACGCAGACGCAGACGCAGACGCAGACGCAGACGCAGACGCAGACACAGACACAGACACAGACACAGACACACGCACAGACACACACAGACACACACACACACACGCACACACATACACACACACACACATACACACACACACCCACCCGCGCGCACACACACACACACCCACCCGCGCGCGCACACACACACACACCTCTTAGGGCTTTGCGGTCCGCACCGTGCCGAGTGATATAGGTGATGGATTCTGTTACGTTGTTTTCAGGGCTTACAATGTTCAGGCGCGCAGGTTATGAAAGGGCTTCCGCAAATCAGGGGTATTTGGGTTCAACGTCGTTTAGCTACTGTTAGCTGCTATGCTATGTGCCCTTCAGGTCAGTGGCTTACACTTCAGGGTGTTACAGGGCTTGGCAAAGCACCATGAATCCGACTCGCTGGAAAGCTTTGGATAGCTTAAACTTTGCATCCTGATACCATGTCTGTGGTATACGGTGGCTCAGAGGTTTAATTCTGCGGCTGTATAGGTCTGCTCGGTCCGGGCAAGTTGATGCTGAAGACTCTAAGCGTGTAAAGAATTCGAACCTCAATCTCATCACGAAAGCCTGGCAGCCCTGAGCCCCAAATCAGACAAATCTCAAAACCCTGAGGGGAGAATATTTCGACCAGGTGACCCTCACCTAGGCTCTAGGCCCCTAGGCTTGAAGTTTCAGTCAGGTTTTTTCAGAGCGCTCCCCGGGTCTGTTCACTCGGAGCTGTTTTGGATCAAACCTCCGGGTGCGAACCCCGAAATCTTTAAATTCGGAAGTCGCGCTCGGTCCTTTCAAATCCAGTGCCCACCGAACAAGCCTGTGAACAGAAATCGCCAAATACATTCAATTCCAAGAAGATAGAAAGCATGAGGATGAGCAAGCAAAACACTCCGAGAAGACTCCTGACACACTTGTAGCTTTCTGCAGCAGGGCCCAGTCTTATCATTGATCATTCCATGTTAATTGTCAATAGCCAATTTCAAGATACCTCATGAATATGCCGTTTCAGCTCTGACCCCTCGTAAGCCCTAACTTGCCCAAGCCCATCATTTGCCCAGCCATAAATCCCGCTCCCTAGACCCCAATGCTTCCCTCTCTGAGGCAGGATCCCTGGCTGGATCGGTGCCATCTTCTACATGGTGTCTCGGCGCTCAGGGTTCAGGGTTGGGGCGTAAGGTACGTCCAGGGTGGCAGCCAAGAAACTGCACAGAAGCCGCCTAAACCCCAATCATGAATTTGTCTGGGATCAGGTCCTCGGCTTCATGAAGGAGATTCTCTTCACCATCGTGCCGCAGAGCAACGTGACCATCACTGGTGACCGCGTGGGTCTCACACGCTCTGCGATGCGTCTTGGCGGTGCTAGAGGTCCGGGTTTGGGGTAGGGTTCGGGGTGGTTTGGGGTTCAGGTCCTGGGGTGTAGGGGTCAGTGTTCTCAAGGCTTCTTGTGCAGGGTGAAGATCGCGGGGCCTGAAGATGTGCGGCGCCTCTAGCAGTTTCTTATGTCTCGTTCTCGCTGAACCTACAGGGGTTGTGTAGACGTTAAACGGGCTTGAACGATTGGAATCATCATCGGAGGTACGTAGGACAGGCATAAGGCATTAACCGGTATAGGTGTACTCACTGTCGAGGTTCCTATGCTGGGAGTAAGTTTACGTTTAAGCCCCCAAAACAGGACCCCCAAACCCTGTTAGCCCTAAGCTCTGTTCCTTGAACACCAAATAGAACCCCGAGACGACGCGCTCGACGGTCGGCCTGCCTGCTCGTTTGAGGTTTCACGGTTTGAGGTTTTGAGGTAGGATTTGAACAAGCGTGGCCTGCATGGGAATAGGGCTTACGGGTCAGGGTTTAGGGCTGAGGCTTCAGCGTTTGGGGTTTTCGGTTTGGACTTGGGAGTAAGGGCTGCAGGCGGGCGTAGAGTTTTTGAGAGGTTTGATTTTCGTCAAAGCACTTGCCTGAGATGGCATGCTACAGAGAAACTACCGAAAAGACCCAAGCCCTCAGGTTAAGACTCCCGACCCCCAGCTTCTGCATGCAATTAAGGTTCCTGTTCATCTTCATCATCATCCACGCTGTCGGCAACCTGCACGTCTTCCTAGGCCCGGTGAGGGGCAAAGCCTCGAACGCTGGAGCCGGTTCCTCCTGAGCAGCTTTTTACTTCGCTTACCATGACAAAGGCCTCGATCATAGTCAACCCTTTGACTTTGACCATCGTCAAGCGAAGCCTAAACTCCAGCCTCCAATTCCCTAAGCCCGTAAAACCCGTCAAAGCCCTGAAGCCCTGCAGTTCGAAAGTCTTATCCTGTGAACGTCAAAGCCTACCACTCTAGGCCCTACCCAAAATCCCCAAAGCCCCTCATGAATGAAGGCCCGGACGATTTTAATGGCTACGGCTACTTCTATGTCCGGCTCTACTGGACGGGCTTCGGCTTCCAGGCGCCTGGACTTGAGCATTTTGTGAGGTTAGGGCTAGGCGCGGCTAGGGATTTTTGGGAAGTCCGAGCCGCTCAGGGTTTATGTGTTATACGGGTATACCGGTTTGGGATTCCCCAGATGCCAAGCTCCAGGCCAACATCGTTGAGGAGTACATCCTGCTTGCGGCCCTGCTGCACGTCTTTGTCGCCCTGAAGAGGACGTCAGGTAATGTGGTTCAGAGGTATTGGGTTTTCGGCCTCGAGAGCCAAGGCCCAGGAACGCTTCTCAAGCCCGTCGTGACGTGTTCATCCGCGGCCTGCATCCTGGATCCAACCAAAGGTCTGAATAACTAGTGACAGAATTCCCTTGCAGTCTGGAAGTACTGATACCTAAACCCTGTTCCAAGACGGGATTTTAGCTAAAGTCTTCACATTACCCGAGAACCTCAACTTCAGTTCTACAGCCCGGATCCCTGAATCTGCCTTCCTCCACGCTCGCAACCCCCCAAGCCCAACGCCTCAACGCCTCTGGGAGGACGTGGGACATCAGCATGAACTACTCTGCTGCTGGGCTGTTTCAGCTGACATTTAGGCTTGGCGGCGATGACTGATACTACGATGCTGGTTCTTGCCATCAGCACAGCGAAAGATATTTGACTGGCTTTATCGTGCTGCTACATTTGCATGTCATGTTTCGTCTTCGCGACTTTGCACCAGCATCAGCTTTGTCAAGTTATTCCGCTTGCCTACGGCTCGTGCTCTAGATAGTGACGAGTGAGAATCACAATGATGACTCATCGAGACGGATAGAGGAAGCCTGGACACTCGCGAACGACCCGCGCACACGACAAACTCAAGTAAAAGGATCATGCTTTGGATTATGATCGCGACCCTCAGCACCGAACCTTGCCTCGCCCCTAGCGGGAGAAGCGCAGACACTCTCGCTAAGCCTTCCAAGCAAATAACACTCTCATTTCCCTGAACCTTCAAATCCTAAACGAGCGCATTCCCGAAATGTTGCACTCCCCAAACCTGGCAAGTCTTGCAATGCCTTGCACACTTTGAGGTAGCATCTGGCAAGTTGAACCTGGCCTTCTCCGGCGTCACCTTGCTCACCTTCATGATGATCCACCTCTACCAGTTCCGGCTTCTCTGACTTTTCGGAAACAGGGTCATGGAACAGGTTATTTTGGGAAGGGGAGAGGGGGGCCGCCAGCCCTAGACCTAACTCCCAATCCCGTAAAGCCGGAACACCCAAACAACCTACGTCGCTTAAGCCTACAGCCAGATCCCTAAAGCCCGTACACACTACACAAACCCTGAGGCTTACATCTATACATATAATTATAGCAACTATAGCACAGTACGGTAGACTTCGGGCCGAAAATCTCTGCTAGAGGCCCCCTGAAAGGGACAGTAGTCGCATTAGCCTGCTCATTGACACTTCATAGGGTCCAGCCACTCCCTTGTTTCAAAGTAGAGGGGCCGAATTAAGTCGAATAAGTAGTTCCCCAGACAGTATATTACACACCGTGGGATTCCGACGTTCAGGGGCAAAGAGCAGCAGCGCGCACGCGCGTACGCGGCGGAGAAAAACGTTTGCCGGGACGTGGCTGCTCTATTTGGTGCGCGCATCCCTTTAGTGCACAGGATTGTGGGAACGCGGTGCGGGAAGCCAGATTCATTGAGTTCCAATACGTGGGCCACTTTGTTTCCTCCAAACACTCCGAGTCGCGCCAGTACTTGGAGCAAAGCATCTTGCCCGTCCTCTTGAATCGTCTCCTGGATTCTCTCCGCTGGTGGTCCTTAGGTCCCTGCGTGATCTCTTATGGTCCTAGTTCTGTTGGTTGCCTTGGTCGTCATAGTTGTCGTGGTGCTCTGTCAGGAATGTAGAGGCTTGGAAAACGAAGCACAGACATCTGCCACTTGTGCCTGCCACACTAGGCTGCTAAAGAATCTCGTTAAGCCCGATCCCAACTGGTGAGGCCCCCATCGCATACACTTAGCAACGTAGAGGTCTTGTGCTCCCGATCTCGGCTTCACACTCCGGCCTTCCATCTTATCTTCACCACAACACAGCTTGAAAGACAAGCCCAAGAAGCCCCAAACTTGCGAGAGCTGCAGTTGAGAGCCTTTGGGAGAAGGAAAGAGCTGCGGTTAAGACGGTTAAGAGCCACGGTCGCGCAGAGAGCTTAGAGCCTCAAACTCTCAAGCTCAAACTCCCACACCCGAAACTGGAAGCCTCCGTCCCTTCCACCGCTTTCTTCAGGTTTGGCGACACAGAGCCTTGGAAGCTCTGCCCGCCGCCCTACCTGCTGAATCTGCCGCCGGGCTGGGAGAGAGCACGAGCCGGGTTCAGGCTGTGCGTTTTGTGGTTTTAAGGCTTAGGGCTTAGGGCCTGAGGGCTTTCGGGGATTTACGTTCAGGGATCAGGGTCAGGTCCTTTGCCAGGTGAACCTCCGCACCGTAGTAGATCTCAGTGTCCTGCCAGAAGCATCTTTCAGAAATCGATGTTGAACTCTATGACCATCCGAAACCTTCAAGCCTAAACCAACCGGTTTGGCCAAAGAAACCACGAAGTCAATGGCTCTACAGATCTCTTCGCAAAAAGAACCTTCCCGCAGATCGGATCGTCGGGGTGGCTTTTTTGATGCTCTACCTAAGCCCAAACCACAAGTTTTAAGCCTTTTCCCCATTTCGCGCGACAGCTAAGGGCGACGCTGCTCCAGCTGAGGCTGAACCTCTTCTGGGTAGACACCCCAGGATGCCAGGCGGTGTACGTGCGGGATATCTACCGCATGGAGTTCGAGATCTTCCAGTCCCTGGGCTGGGTGCTCTTCTACTTGGCGGCTGTGATCATCTTCAGCACGCACATGTGCTTGGGCTGGCAGAAGGTCGTGCCCGCTCCGGCCTTGGAGATCCCCAAGAAGTACCACAGCAGAGCCATCCACATGGGCTACGTCTTCACCTTCTTCATCGCTCTGATCTATGCCAGCTTCCCGCTCTACACCCACCTCTTCGCCATGTCCTCCGGATCCCTGAGCCAGGAGCCGGCACAGCCCTAAAACTAGAGGCTGTTCCTCCCATCCTTTCTAAACTTTAATCACACGTCGTGAGCTCGTAGAACCGTTGACACGGTCACGTTTCATAGCCTCGCACGCGCTGTTCAAGTGGACAGTGCCGAGGACCCGGCCCAGACAAAAGAGCTGAGTCCATGTTTGGGTCCCACCTGCAAAGGGTTCGGGGAGCACCTGCGTTCTATCCACAACCTCGTCACTACACTCTTCAGGATGTTTTTTAAATCCCTGGTCACAGTTCGGCCGCAGTTTTCACTGCCGGGTTGCTCGTTTGTTCATTCGGGGACTTCAGTTTTCAGCGTTTCAACAGCGAGAAACGCAGAGCCAGAGAAGCATGTACGGACCATGAAGGGCCAACTTTGCTCTTTCTAGGCCTTGCGCTACGTCCTACAATTGTTACAGATTGGACTAACTTCGTAAACTATGGACCGACACCTTGGCCTGCAAGGGGGTTTCAAAAGTTAGAAGTACATACTGTCTGTATTGGGGTCCGTGTTCTCTGTGGTCGCAACTGCTGGGTTCGGAGGCGTTCACTGGGTGCAGAGCTCGGGATTCGGAGATTTTGTTCGTATCGGTTGGGTTACATTCGAGCCCAGATCTTCGACACATCGTTGTTTAGGGTTGAGGGTTGGAGTCCTAAAGTATCCCAAACCGTTTTAGTCCCGAAGCACCAAGACCTATGTTTCGAGGCGCAGCAGCGTTCTAGTTTTGCGTTTTTGGTTTAGGCCTCAATGCTTTAGGATGCAGTGTTGGCCACAAAACACATGACCGCATCGTGGGCTCAGCATTAGTGCGCCCATTTTTGAATTCCGTTCAGTAGCGTGGCCGGTGAGTTGCCTCAGGCGGGCTCTGACGAGGGTCCAGGGCAAGCTTTAAACTATCAACCCCAAGCCATACATGCCGAAAGGCCTGTATCACCAAGTCCTAACAGGGTTTTCTGGCATCGAGTCACGACAACCTTTTTTGCTCACAGGAATGAATGCAATGTAAGCCTGTCTTTAAGGCCGCCATATTCGGATCCTTGCTATAACCGAAGAGTTCAAGAGTTCAAGCACATCGCGTCAGGTTCTGCAAGCAATGGCGATTTCCATGGCAGAGGCAGGACTGCCCGATTTGCAAGAAACAGGGGTTTGCATCCTGTATCGTTTACAAGCATTCTGTGGGGTTCTGGAGGGTTAGCGCAGTTACTTGAAGGATGAATCAGGCGAACTGGAAAGTAGGCCATGATTTGGAATACAAGTGCCATAAGCCTGCCTCAAGACCTTTGACCCTTCAACGCCGGACATTCCTAAACCCAACGCTTAATCCCGCAGAATTAACATGGAGCCACGCCCCCAGGTGGCCAAGCACAACTCCAAGACTGACTGCTGGGCACGGAGACCCGGTCTTTCTCCGGATCTGTCTTTTCTTTTCCATGCCTCTTTATTGAGGTGTTCAATTTAAGCATCCTGCTGTAGATTTTTTTTGCCTTAGGCTGTTGTTGCTGTGCATTCTAGTTTTGTGATCTTCAGGCAGTTTGGGCGCTGGATTTTCAGGATTTTGGGTTTAAACTTCGTGCTGTGGGATCGTTACAAGCGCTGTCGAGGCTTAGGGCTTGTCTGACCTGGGGATTGTCTTATAATGTCCCCACCTTGAAATCTGAAAATACACCCACGCCAGGTCAGTCCCGACATAAAATGACCAGAACATGAACAGAATGTGCCCTCAAACAAACCCGACTTCGGATTACAGCTTGGCGACGTGCTCGATACTGGGCACTATTCAAATTGGTTGGACAGGCGCTTTGTTGAGAGTGCCATTAGGAGGACCAGATCTGAGCCATGCGAAGTTAGACCCGAAACAGACTCTCAGGGGCACCTGGGCCCCTGAAGGCTTTGGGGTGCGGGGACGCCCTCATGCGCTTACTATGGTGGATGCATGCGAGAGCCCACTAGCCGACATCGAGGTAATTCCTAATCCAACAGCCGTCCCATTGCCTGCACCTTTACAGTCTTGAGGTGGTCGTGGCTGGCGATGTCCTGAATGTCACCAGCTTCCTGAGTGAACATCCAGGCGGCGAGTTGGCGCATCGTGGCCTCCAGAAAGGCAGGAATGTTTTCGTGATTTAAGTTGTGGGCAGCGTGGAACCGCAACGGTTTGGGTTTAGGGTGTTTGAGTTCCTGGGGTTTGGCTTTGGGATTTCGGCATCAGTCTTGCATGTCGGTGGGGATACTGGGTTGAACTGTTTAGCGCTTCGCCAGGTTTGGTGGGCTTGCGGTTGGTTTGAGGTTCAGAATCACCGGAGCCCTCGCCAAAGACGCATGTTCACCTGCGACCCTTCCTTGATCCGCTGCGCCGCAAACTCCAAGAATAGACCCTTAACTCAACACTTCCCTAGTCCCTGAATGTTTCTGGGCCCTGATCTAAATCGCAAGCTTGAGTGGATGAGCCCGAAAATCTCACTCTTCCGTAAGCCGCTCCAGGCCTTGATGTTAATGTTCAGGCCGAGACAGTCGGCTGGAGTGGAGGAAGGCTTGCATTCATGCAGTGTTAGTATCATGATTCAGTTCCGTGATGTTACACTCTGGTAATTGCTTCCTGCCCGTCTAAAGCTTGAGGCATAGCTCTAAGACTCTTAACCTAAAGCCCAGGATCATCACCTTTGCGGGCAAAGATGCTACCGAGGAGTTCAACATGCGCCCTGGACATCAAAGTCCCTACGCTCCAAGTTCTTAGGTTGTGAGGCTCGAACACGAAGCCTTTATTCACAGTAGTTGAGTGGCATTTTTCAGGACAAGAGGTTCGTTTTGGTTTGCAGGGCTTCACATGCACGTAGAGCACTCGAAGAATGAAGGCCAGACGTAATGTAATCGCCCATTATGCCAGGTCATCTATCAGTTTGGGTGCAAACCGTAAGCAGACTTCGCATGCCAGTTGCGCGAGAGTTGATAACGATGACGGTAGTGACGACAATGAGGCGATGGTTCGGGTGACCGCTAGCTATTGTAGGGAAAGCAGTACTTTTGATGGTCTTGGCTGCCATAGTCAGACGGCTGAGAATGAACAGCATTGTTTGAGAGCAGTTTCGATGTTGCACGATTACGAGATTTGGCTGCAGCCTCCGAGCTCAGGATCCACCCTCCCGATGTGATCAGCAAGTATGCCCCAGCCGCTCATTCCGGAGAAGTGCGAATTTCAAGGTTAGTTTGGCGTTCAGCGTTCCTGTTTGGCTTATGAGTCTGAGCTTTGCTTCGGTGCAAGTCCGCCTAGAGTGTTCGAGCATGCAGCCCCTCGTTTCTGTGTACTTGCCACGCTTCCACCGCAGAGGGATCCCAGTCACAGACATCCGAGGCAAACATTAGGAGCTAAAAAAGTCAGATCTCCCTGTAATTGTTGGCGGCTCGTACCTTTCCCAAGCGACCTTTGACTTCACCATGTAGTCAGGGTCCATCGAAGCGCTTTGGAGAAGGCTCCTTACCTGGAAGCCCCAGGCCGCTGATGTCGGCCAGCCGGCCTCTCAAGATCCCAGAGATCCCAAATCCTACCCACAACTCAAACCGAGACTCGCCAGACGATCTGGGCGGCTTTGAGCCTAGTCATGTGGCCTTCAGCGAACCCGAACGCCCCACAAGGAGTTTGAATCCTGAAGTCCCACGGCATTAAACTTTGAACTTTGCATTGGGGGTGCAGGCCCTAAGGTTTTGGCCGAAAGAAAGTGGAAAGGCGTGTTTCGGGAGCATTTCACATACTGGCTTCTGTATCACACTCCAAGTTTCCTCCTGGAGTAACCCCCTGCATCTCTTCTGGAGTTCCCGTCGCAAGGATTCCATCATTGGCAAGCTGGGCGCCGGAGGCGGGAAACCCCCCAAAAGCACCCTTCAAAGCCCCACCCAACATCCGTAAGCCCTATACCCCAAAACCCGAAACCCTTAAACGGATGTAGGCTGAAATCCCGGGCCAAGGTTGGGGGAGCTCGGGGGCATGGGAAACCGATTTTTTGGGTTCCCTTCATCGCTTCTTGTGTCCTTACATAAGCATTGGGCAAGCCAGAAGCAAGCTTCAGGGCTTCGGGTCTGGGAGACCATGTCTCGTCCATGCTTTGGAATTGTCTACCATGAAACAGCCGGATCATTGGGACGACATTCCACAATGGCAGTGGACAATGACCAGCTGTTGATTCGAGGTTTGTGATATGAGCTCCCAGAGACATCCTAACATGGCAAGCACCCAGCAAACCAGATGCAGCTTTGAACTATCCGCTGTAAACTGGCTTCGGCAGTCTCGACTTGACTGCATGCTTCTCTCCCTGCCCCCAAGCCCAGAGCGAAGGTGCGGCACCTGCCGCTCCAGCAGCCCCCGCACCAGGCTTGGATTCTGAAGGGGGAGTGCATTGCACGTGCAGAGGGTTCAGGTCCTGGGGATTGGGTTCAAGTGCTTCGCGGACTCGTGTTTTGTGGTTTACAGTTGGTGCTTTGGACGGTGTTGACATTCCGCACCCACTGTGCAAACAGACATGCAGCTCGATGTCACAGGTTTTGCAAGTCGAATTGACTTCCACGGCAGGGCGGTGCGAGTTTCGAGATTCCGCTGAAGTGAACGCATCCTTCCGCCTTTTTTGTTCAGCACCGGTGGCTGCTGCCCCTGCCGCAAGCGCAGCGGCGCCGCTTTTGGACAACCATGCAGCTTGGTTTAACCGTTAAACTCAAACTCACAACCCCGGATCCGGAAACTTTTGGTGACGTTTGCCGAGTTGCTGGCGGGGGGGAAGCCCAAATATTCAACCTCAAAGTCTCAATGTACTTCGAAGTTGAGTTTTGTAGGCTTTGACGAAGCCTGGGCCTAAACTCATAAAACACTAAAAACTACACCTTCAGGCCCAACCTCGAACAAATCCCTAAAGCCTAAACGGGCTGACGAGTCGATCTTCGGACCCACCCTTCGACATGTTTTATTAGTACCTCCTACACTGCTGTACTCTTATAAAGTTCTAGAAGGGTTCAATCAGGGTTTTCCAAGACTTCCGTAGAGGTTTTTTCAAGAATCTACAGAGGTTGGAAAGGGTTCGATAAGAAGATGTGCATCGGCCTGGGTCTTCAGAACTATAGGTACTTCATTACAGTTTACAGTGGGCCCGAAACCCTACATCCGACGCCAGAAGTCCTCAACCCCGAAAGACTACTACACCACGGACAAGCACCGCCCGGCAACACGCCCATTTTCTGTGGCAACAACTACCACAAAAACAAAGTTAATATGCAAGATCCTCAGCCCCACAACGACTTGGCTCCGACGACATGCCCCCCAAAAGGCAACGACACCTCGATTCTCAAGCCCGAAACTCGAGATCCGCAAGCTACAGGAGTTAAGGACCTAGAAGGCTTAGGTTTGGAGGCTTGCAGGGTTTGGGGTTGAGGCTCACCTGATGCCGCAATGGGACAAGGATGCACGCAAGGAAAAGCCACCAAGCCCAAAGCTGCAGAACTCATCAGGGAAAGAACTGGAGCAAAGCGGAGCAGAACAGGGAGATGCGCATGAAGGGCGAAGGACCTTTGGCCAAGGATTGGATTTGGCGGTTTGGGTCTTTTGTCCGTAGTCCTTGGGGTGTCGGCTGAGTCATTGAGGTTGAGCTTGAATGTTCTTCTTGGTCCAGGTTTGTATTGGCATGTTCATCCTGTTGACTAGCTGACATTCGGATGCAGGGTTTAGGCTTCGTGGAGTAATGGGCTCTTGGAATACTGACGTGCATGAGTTGCTTGTGTGGCTTTCAGGTTTCTATACCCATAAATTTGCCACAAACGCAACTCAAAGGATCTGTGGATGAAGAAACAGGGCTGTAAGTTGGGTGATTTTGGCGACCCTGGGACGCGAAAGTACCGTGCCCGGGGTCTGGAGCCGGCGTCCAGGCCCCGAGGGTTCTACGAAGGTTTGGCGGGTACCTGTTCTCTCAAGCACCTGCTGCTAACCTGCTGCATTCAAGCTTACGGATATACCTATGTGAGACCTCAAGCCCTGCTTCCCCATCAGCAAAGCAAAAAAAACTGAGCAACTCAATCAAACAGCATAAACTATCGCTCGATAGCTTCTCAGGTAGAATCCCTGGGTGGATCGGGGCCATCTTCTACATGGCTGCTTGGCGAAACTAGTTTAGCCGAAGGTGTAGTACAACTGAGTCTGAGCAATGCAGGTGCTGCAGCCCCCATGTGTGGTGAGAGCGGATAACCGAGCTTTTTGTCGTACATTTTGCCATTGAAGGTCGACTTACAGTGAAGCCCTACACCCGTCACCCTGAAGCCCAAGCCTTAAACTCTAGCATCAGCAAGCCTGGCAGGTTTAGGGGTGTGGCGCTCGCAGGGTCTAGGGTTTCGGGTCATTTCGGGTTTGGAACTTTGCAGAGCCGCCTCGCAAGGCCACGCGAGATCAGGCTCCCTGCAAACCCAAGCTCTAGTTCTGCACCCGTGAAGCACTCAATGCAAGGATTCCAACAAGTTAAGCAACATCAGATCCTGCAATTTTATCCTTGGCCCTGAGCCCGGTTTGGCGTCGAGGAAATACCGCCGATTCAGGTTTAGGGCATAGGCTCCACGGTAGTGGGTTTGGGATGGTTTAGCATTTAGGGATGGGGATGGAATTCCACGCACGTTTGCAGATTGAGGCTTGAAGAGTAGATGGCAGGTCTGCGGCAGCAAATGCTGAATACTGCAGCTGCGGCATGTCCATTTCCGTGGATGTGTGTTTGATAAGTGGGAAGAGGACATCTTTGGAAGTGGAGGAGGATACGGCTGTGGAGTCACTGAACCGGCTTGCCCAGAACGCTCTCGAGGCTGGAAGAGGCCGGCTGACGAACTCTTCTGGAGAAATCCTGGCTGGAGTTGCAACTGTCAAAGAAGCGGGCATACAGAGCGGCGACGTGCTGACGCTACATGTGAAGCAGACACAAGTTGGAGCAACGATGAAGGGCGCGTGCTTCTCTGCATTCACGGCGCTCTTTGGTGATGGATCTGTAGTGACCTGGGGTCATCCTAGATGCGGTGGTGACGGCGGGGTCCTACGGCAGCGGCTGAAGGATGTGCAGCAGATCCAGGCCTCGCACTTTGCATTTGCCGCAATCCTGGGCGATGGGTCTGTGGTCGCCTGGGGTGATCCCGAGGATGGTGGCGACAACAGCGCAGTGCAGGATAAGCTGAAGGATGTGCAGCACATCCAAGCCTCTCACGGCGCATTTGCTGCCATCCTGAGTGATAGATCTGTAGTCACTTGGGGTTGTCGTTTCCGGGGTGGTGACAGCAGTGCTGTGCAGCAGCAGCTGAAGGATGTGCAGCAGATCCAAGCCTCGCACAGTGCCTTTGCCGCAATCCTGGCTAATGGATCCGTGGTCGCATGGGGTGATCCCGAAGAGGGTGGCAACAGCCGTGACGTTGACGCTGAGCTGAGAAATGTGCGACAGATCCAAGCTTCTCGTGGCGCATTTGCCGCGATCCTGGGTGATGGATCTGTGGTCACGTGGGGTGATCCCGAAGATGGCGGTGACAGCAGTGCAGTGCAGGAGCAGCTGAAGGGCGTACTGTACGTCCAAGGCTATTTGTGCTCATTTGCTGCAATTCTGAGCGATGAGTCTGTGGTGACCTGGGGTCATCCTGCCGTTGGCGGCGACAGCAGGGCTGTGCAGCCGCTGAAGGCTGTACGTCAGATCCAAGCCTCGCATATATCGTTTGCAGCTATCTTGGGCGATGGGACTGTGGTCAGCTGGGGGGATGTCGAATGTGGCAACAGCAGTGCAGTGCAGGAGAAGCTGGTTGACGTGCAGCAGATCCAAGCTTCACGATACGCTTTTGCGGCCGTCTTGGGTGATGGATCTGTTGTTACCTGGGGCCATCCGGGGTATGGTGGCAACAGCATGGCCGTGCAGGATCAGCTGCAAGATGTCCAGCAGATTCAAGCTTCCATAGGTGCTTTTGCTGCAATGCAGGCAACCCTTTGTGACCCTAGCCCTAAGCAAGCCTCAACTCCAAATTCTAAACCCCGGAACCCTAAACCCTCAATCCGAGGTGCATTTGCCGCAATCCTGGGCGATGGGTCTGTGGTCGCCTGGGGTGATCCCGAGGATGGTGGCGACAACAGCGCGGTGCGGGAGAAGCTGAAGGATGTGCAGCACATCCAAGCTTCATCTCGGGCGTTTGCGGCCGTTTTGGGCGATGGATCTGTGATCACCTGGGGTCATCCCGACCATGGCGGTGACAACAGATGCGTTCAAGACGGTTGGGCATAAGGCGGCGTCCGGGTGTGGGAGGAAGTTTGCAAACGCTTCAACTTCAGCCTCTATCCGGTTTCGAAAACGTTTTACTTATGATACAGACTCACATAGATCCAACTAGTGGAATCAATGTTTTGTCCATCGCTTCGAGGGTTTACGGCACAGGGTCAAAGGGTGTGGTCATTTGGGGTCAAGGGGTGTGGGGGTTCGGATTCGGGTTTTTGTCTTCAGGGTTTCAGGTAGTGACGAACAGAAACCTGCATTGGCCACAAGGAATGTAGTACCATAAGTCCCATTTATTGAGGTATTTCAAGATGTGATCCAACAGCCGGCTTTCGAGGTTTGGGCTTCATGGTGTGAGGTTTCCCGGATGCCCCAAAAAGATGCAAGATGGATCCACCTGAACACCTGAACCCCAAGAAAAAGCACCCGAATTGGTCCTGAACCCTGCATTTTCCTTTGACCTTTGCTGTCAAAGGCCGCAATCAGAAACAAGCCCTGTATTATGAAAGCCCGAGAAGCCCAATAGAACCCACACATGGGCGGACCGAAACTGGTACAAAGGAGGGTAGGACGATACATGCTACGTTCACACAATGCTTACAGTAACTTGTATCTTTCAAATTTCTCGTTCTCCCCAGGGCGGTCTGACTTCAAGGCGACTCGCAAGGACGGTTCGGAAGGCCTCGGCCCGACTCCGTGGATGCGGGAAGCCTCGTGCGCAGGAGACGTCACGGAGATGTCCCGTTTGTCTCATCTCCTCTCGTCGTCCGACTTCGAGTGGCCGGCTTCGGCTGTGATAGAAGGCTTCATCTCAAAGGTTCCTGTGGTGATTCGATTGTTAGGTCGGGATAGGGTTGCCCTTGAGGTGGGGCTCGAAACACCGTGAAACAACACTGACGACCTACCGCGCCAAGTCTGGAAATCGAGTGTGCTACGGAAAAAAGATGCATCCTTGCGCCAGGCCCGCTGCTCTGTAAACCTGATGGGCCGGGTTGGGGGGGCCAAACTTCCAGACCTGAGCCGTTGCTTCAGCCATGGGACTCTCTGACGCTAACTCTAACCCTAAGCCTTGAATCCTGAACCGCAGACGTGTATCAGCCTATGCCCACGGAGGATTTGGCGAGTTTGGCTTTACCCGTTTTCATACTCTGAGTCTGGTAAGGAGCCGGAACATAATTTGCAACAGCCCTCACCTTTGAACATCTTGTTTCAGTGTTTTTATGACATGGACGATTCTGCTGTGTCGCGGATGGGGCTCTGGCTGCAGTTTCATAGAAAAGCCTTCATGAAAACTTTGGAGTCTGTCATAAACTCCAACAGTCTCTCTGAACCTTAAATTACAGACAGAAGTCTTTCCAGGTTTGTTTGTCATTGCAGTTCGTGTAAGCTTGTCCTAAACCCAGGTGCTTGGTTTTTTGAAGGAGATTCTCTTCACCATCGTGCCGCAGCCGCCGGGCAGTGACAGATGGAGAGTTTCGAGATGGTAGGAGATCATAGGGTCATAGGAAATTAAAGAGTTCGGGCTTAGGGCCACAGCGGCTACAGCCTTCGAGTTGAGGAAGCCGGAGCCGGAAAACTGCAGCCCGAAGCCCTAAACCCCAAGCCCCAAAGCCCAAAAGCAGCTCCTAAAAACCTACACCTCCAAGCGTTAAAGCACCAAAGCCCTAAGCCAAACTCAGAACTCTGAAACCGTTCAAGCCCCAGTGTCCATGTGCCGCCAGAGAGCTTAATTCCCAAACCATACACGACCTACAAGCCTCAAGCCCTCTGGACGAGAAGCAAAAAAGAAACACAGGGCGAAAGAAGGGAAGCGAGACTCTTCAGGGAGAAACGCTGAAGATTTTAATCCCAAGGCCTCTTAGAACCTGTTCACGGCAGAACCCTGACCTCAATGCCCAAGCCCTAAGACCCTAAGATTTAGCCAGAAGGATCCCAAACTCTTTCAACTTGGCGCGAGGCATCATTCCACGCCCTTCCCCCAATCGCCCCCAATCTCCTAAAACCCTCCAGGCCAGAACACCGGCCAAAAGCCACCCAACATCCTGGAACTCCAGAGCCCTGAAGAGTCCCAGCCCCCAGCCTTCAAGCATTCAACCCCACGCCCGGCTCTCAGTGCCTCTAGGAAGAACGTCTCCTTCTCCAGCGACCGAATCGGCCTCACTCGGTCGGCAATGCCCCTCGGAGGAAGGGGACTCGTGAATTTGATGTAGACATGTGAAAACTCGCTTTGTTTAAGAGTTCGACTTATATTGCTTACCTATCAAGTCGGGGGGATGAAGATGTATGTGTGTGTATATATACACACACACCGACACATATTTATGTACATATATACATACACTGTATATGATAAATATATATATATATACATACACATACATACATACATACATACATACATACGTACATACACACATACATACACATACATAGATACATACATGCACAGTCTGTATGTGTATATATACATGTATACA